AACTACCAAATATTGCTGGAAGAAATGGTGAAAGACATAAATAAACGGAAAGACACCTGATGTTCCCGGACTGGAAGACTTCATCTGTGTGTGGAGTAGGGACTGAACCCAAGGCCTGGTGCCTGCTAGGCACGTGCTCCACCACTGAGCTCTAGCCAGGTCCCTGCCCTCAAACAGCTTCTTTAAAAACAGGGAACAGGGCGTCCCTAAGTTGCTCAGGCTGGCCTTGAACTTGATATGTGAACCAGGCACTATTAGAACTTGTGATCCTCCTGTCTCACCCTTTTGAATACATGGAATTACAGGCTTGTACCATCTTGTCTGAAAGAAGACTTAATTTTTTTAAGTTGACAGTATTAATGAATGGGATCTATAGATTCAATGCAAATCCTACCAAAATCCCTGTGATTTTATATAGAAATAGAAAAAATCCATTCTAGGATTTAAGTAGAATCTCAAGAGAAACAAATAGCTAAAAGAACCTTGAAAAAGAATAAAAATGGAAAACATGCTTCCTGATTTCATAACTTAGTGCATAGCGGCAATAATCAAAACAGCATGCTACCGATAAAGGCAGGTAAAGGCAGGCGTGTAGATCAATGGATAGAAATCCCAAAGTGGTCATGTATACTGTCCAGTGATTAATTAAAAATTAGCTGATACATAATGCATGTCTGTTTGTGGGGAACAGTCTAATATTTTAGCACATACATAGGCAATATGTAGTCAGATCAGAGAAGTTGACATGTCCATCAACTCATTTTTTTTTATGTTGGGGATATTCATCTCTGTTAGCTATTTTAAAGACAGAATTAATTGCTGTCAAGAATTGTTCCATTGAGTTGTAGAACATTAGAAGTTATTCTTCTTGTCCGGCTCCACCTCTGTGTCCAAATGCTTTTTGACTCGGCCACTAATACTGTCCAATGGTGAAAGAATGATCTTTTCAACAAGTGACGGTGAGAAACCAGGATATTTAGGCAAAAGAATGAAGTGAAGCCTTTACCTAATGTCGTATAAAACTTAGCTCTAAATGGATCAAAGACCTAAATATCAGAGTTAAAACCCATAAAACTTTTAAAAGAAATTAGGGTGAAAACCTCATGAAATTGGATTTGGCAATGATTTCTTTGCTGTGACCCCAAATGCATCACCAACAACAAAATAAATTGGACATTAGCAAAATTGAAAACGTTTGTGCATCAAGGGATATTATCAGCCATATGACCTACCAGCTCCATTTCTGGACACACACACACACACACACACAC